GAGGGGAGAGGGGAGGAAAGAGGAAAAATAAAAGAATGTCAATTATTTAGATATTGGTAGATCTATGATAAAAGTGATTCTTGTACAGTTTGACCTGTACCATCATAAACTTCATCATCATCATCTTCATCGTCATCATCATCATGATCATCAACATCAACAACAACAACAACAACAACAACAACAACAACAACAACAACAACAACAACCTGCTCGCAGCAACTTTTACTATATTCATAGCTAAATATCGTTGTGATGTTCTTAATAAGATTCTGATAACTGCCCTGAACCAACTCTTAACATGTAGAATTTTGAATTCTCTGTTGAGAGAAAGTGAATAGTAACTGAAAAAAGTAACAGTGTACAGTCTACCATCAACAAGAACAATCTCATCATAACATTGTGCTGATTATAGCTGACACAATACGTGAACTACGTTACATTTTTCAAATGACGTCATATTGATGTGATTGGTCAAGGGAAAAATTCCTTGTGCAATATCACAAAGATTTATTTAGTTTGTATTATTATTGTCACTGTGCTTGTACTCGTATTTAGCAGTAGTTGTAACAGTTTTACGCCCCCATCGATACAATTTAGATAATTTCGGAGGCTGGCTGCTATATCAGGGACAAGCCGTGCTGAGAAGGACACAGTGCCCCAGCAGACAGGTGGAGGTGCTCGAATTTTTTTTTTTAATTCACCACGCGGGAATTTAATTCATGCACTGTGTGCTCGTTGGCAGAACGATTAATCACTACAGTGGAGACTCCGGTGCAGTTATCATTGTGGTTAATGTTGATATTATTATTAGAGTTGGTTTTGTTGTTGTTGTTCAGGTTGTTGTTGCAGCTGCTGCTGTCGTCGTTTCAGCCCACGTTGCAGTTTACTGCGACCTTTTCTAACCAGAAAAAAGGTGAATAAGACTTCGAGAAGAGATGCTGTTGTTCACTATAATTTGACCCAGCTGTACAAAAGCCACATTTTGTCCTGAACATATTAAGATAAAACACAAAAAATGAATAGAATGAGCTGAGTCTTGGCCAACCATCTGCATATGTGAGGCAGTGTGGTGGAATCAGGCTCTCGTCAAAATAATCAAAGTGAAGAAACCTGCATTTTTGTTTTTTGGCTCAAGCCTTTCATGCCCATTAAAGAACTCATTTCTGTTTGGATTTTATTTTTTAAACGTTGATTAAAGGCACAAAAAATGTAAAGTTTCAGTTACCACGGACTCTTAAGCTAAGGAAATAACTAATCTTTGGCGGCCATTTTCTCACTAATTTTACATTTGAAAACAGGTGACCCCCACCTCCTTCATTCGCATATATCTCGACTTGTATTCAAGATAAACGAATACTTGGCTCATCCCCAAAAAAAGACTAGTGAAAAAGCTTTAAGATGATACCAATAACTCTACATGCCCAGAAATTGACGAGAGCCTGATTCCACCGCACTGCCTCACATATCATATGATAATTATAGTGGGAAAAGTACGAGAGGGTAATGCGGTGGGGGAGGATAGTTGTTTTTTGTTTGTTTGTTAGAGCAAAGAGAAGTGCATGCGCATGATGACGGTCATTTGGTGCAGGCGCGCAAAAAGCGCAAGACAGACAGAAGAACTGAAACAACAGAAGGAAAGAAACAGAAGTAGGACAGTAGGACCCACCAAAGGCTCCCTCCAACTACCCGCACGGATGACTGGGGACAGGGGTGTTTTGTTTTTATTTGGTTTGTTTTTTCGGGTGGGGATGGAAAGAGAAGAGAAAAGTACCAAAGACCTTATGATATAATGATGACGCTGGTGAGGAATACAACGACGATCACAACGATGATAATGATAACGGTGACAATAACATTTATAATAAAGAGGAAGAAAATATATATATTGAAAATCACACTGAAGTGAGTAACAAAGAAAATATGGGGGAACGTGAATGCACGAGAAAAGAACAAAGAAAAGACACACAAAAAAGTAAAATCCTAGAACAGACCAAAAAAATAAAAGAATGAACAAAACAAAAGAAGACACAGAGAACCCGAGATTATACGATGCGTTAGCTAAACCAATGAGGTGTGAGGAAAAAGACAGAACAAAGGCCGTGGGGGGGGGGGGGGGGAGAAAGGGGGGTTTTTTTCTGGGAAAAGGGGGGGGGGGGGGGGGGGGGGGAGAGAAAGGGCGTTTCTCTTACAAAACGACAAGCCTACACGTCAAGGAAACGGGACAGGCAAGCCACACAGCAGCCCGAGAACCGGAGCAGTAAATTAGAGAATATGCATAATCCTAACGAGCTGGCGGGAACTGTCGCGCGTAAATCTGTCCTCGCGGCCACGGTGGGAGATATTTCACTCCGGGATACCAGACGATAGAAAGGCCCCGGGAACAGACGATTAAGTCAGCGTTGAGTTGTCTGATGCAGGTCAGTCAGGGCTCGATAATCTAATCAGAGACAAACTGAGCACTCACACGGGCGCCAGCCGTAGAAGTGTGGAAAAAGTACAGACGGAGCAAGAAAAGCCTCTTTAAAGATGGCTGCTTCCATCAAAGCCTTTTCGGATTTGGGCTAAAAATCTCGGATGTCCTGTGTGCAAGTTGCGAACGTAAAAGATCACTTGGGGGTCCTAAAATCGATAAGAGTAGGCATCGGCCGCCACCCAGGCATAATTCAAAATCGATTTCTACTAATCTGAAAATGTTCAATGTGTCCCGCTGCGCGCTCATATGTCCCTGTACAGTTGCAAGCGCCAAAAAACCCCAACCCCTGTCCCCAAACCATTACACCACAGACGCTGGTCCATTGACCGGAAAGAGTAACAGTAATATGAAATCATGAGTACAGGCCACTTGCCACGATAGCAAAAGTATCAGTGATTTTTGCAGTTAAGCGAACCGCAATTGCACGCACATGATATGAGTTCAGTTCCCAAGGGGGAAGATTTTGTTGGCATCGAGCATCTCCGTCAGTCTGCTGGGACATTATATCCCTCTCAACCCGGGGTGACTCTGATAGGCAAGATGGAAGCAGTCCGCCTCCTAAATGTTCCAAAGGGTGTCAAGAGAGGCTGCCTCATAAATAATCTTAATTGAGTCGAAGGGACGGTAATAATACATACATTTGATTTTTTTAAAAGTATGATCTCGTAAACATTTCAAGATATCTTGCAATACTGTAAGACAGGACGTCCAAATCTGCGATAACATACTTTTTAGTGGGTGGTAGGAGGGTGCTCTGGTGTAGGTTGCTCCTTCTTTCCTATCAAACATCTATTTTCCTTATCTCTCCTCCTCCTCCTTTGGTGTGTATGTTACTACTCTCTGGCGAAACAGCTAATCGTCCGTACTAATGTGACCTAATTGTGTTGTAAGTGCCGTAAAACACATATTAAAGCTAAAAAAAATAATTTATTTCAACAGAAGCAAACGCTCTGGGAATGGTGGGTGACCTACTTATACACTTTTTGTAACCCTAGATTCAGACTTCAAATTTGAAAGACACCAACAACAGTTAAAACAGGCGGTAAACTGAATTGGGAAATGAAATTGTGAATACCACTCGGACAAAACATAACAAAAAGGCAACAGCGCAACTAGAATTGTGGATACCAGTTTGATACCCATCTGCTTTCTGTTGTTTGTTTTGTTTGTTGGTTTTTTTTTTCCTTTTTATTTGTGATGCATTTGTCGCCTTACTGTCTTCGGTGCCTTCTGTCCCACTTCCGACTTCTGTGTCCATCCCCTCCCACTAATGTCTCTCTCTCTCTCTCTCTCTCTCTCTCTCTCTCTCTCTCTCTCTCTCTCCCTATCTCTCTCTTTCTTTCTTTCTTTCTCT